AGAATAAGTGGTCTCTTTCAGTTCCATTTCTCTTACACATTCGTCAATTACGTCCAATAGATAGCATGTATCATCTATAGCTGGTGATTGTAAGAATTGTGTTAAAATAAATTCAACTTTCTCTTCACCTACTTCAAAGGTTAGCTTTCCTCTTTTTACATCTATTATAGCTCCGACGGTAGCTAAGAATGGTCTTCCTAGTATGATAGGTGTAGTGGAGTCTTCAGAGATGTCCATGATTATAAAATCAGTAGGGATGTAGAATTGTCCTATACGTACTGGGACGTTTTCTAGTATGCCTACAGGATATTTAACAGAGCGATCGGCTAGTTGAACAGACATTTTAGTTGGTCTTAGGTCTCCCATGTCTAGCCTTTTGCAAATCGTTAAGGGCATAACACTGATACTGGCTCCTAAATCGCATAGAGCTTTGTCAATGACGAATTTTCCTATTACACAGGATATAGAGAAACTTCCTGGATCTTTTAGCTTAGGAGGCATTTTATTCTGAATTATGGCGCTACACTCGGCAGTAAGTGTAACTGTTCCGTTATCCTCTATCTTTTTCTTATTGGATAAGATTTCTTTTAAAAACTTAGCATACGAGGGTATTTGGGTAATTGCTTCTGTAAACGGAATAGTAATATTCAACTGTTTCAGAAGTTCGACAAATTTCTTAAATTGACCCGTCGTCTTGGAATTTATTAATCTTTGAGGGTACGGAATTGGTGGTTTATAGGGTGGTGGAGGCACATAAGGTTGTTCTTTCTCCACTACCTCTCGATTGTCATCTTCCTTTTCTTCTGGATCATTCACCACTTCAGTCGGTTTATCCGGTTTTTGGTACATGGCTGGATTGTCAAGTCTTGGATCGGTAGGTCCGTCAAGTTCCTTGCCACTTCTTAATATTACAGAGTTAGCATGTCCTTTCGGATTAGGTTGAGGTTGTCCAGGGAATACTCCAGCTGGTGCAGCAGTAGGTGCTTGTTGTTGAGCTACTTGTGAAATCTGAGTTTCAAGCATTTTGTTATGTGTAGCTAATGCATCTACTTTGCTCACTAATTGTTTAATCTGCTCACTAGTGTGAATGTTTTGGTTTAAGAAGTCCTTGTTTGTTTAAGATTGGTTAGCTATAAAGTTCTCCATCATCAATTCAAGGTTCAATTTTCTAGGGATATTAGGAGCAGTCTTTTGATATCCTGGTGATGTAGCTGGTGCTTGACCTGGTGCGTAATAAGCATTGTTATTCTTATAGGAGAAGTTCGGATGATTCTTCCAACCTGGGTTGTATGTGTTTGAGTAAGGGTTTCCTTGAGCATAATTCACTTGATCAGTGGGAGTTCCTGCCAAGAGTTGACAATCAGAAACTTCGTGTCCTGGGACTCCACATAACTCACAGTTAGGTGTTACTGCAGCCACGGTGGCTGTAGGTGTTATGGCCAAGTTATCGATCTTTTGGCTTAGTTGGTCAAACTTCGCATTGACTTGGTCCATACTACTTACTTCGTACATACCTCCCTTTGTTGGTTTCTCAGTTGCGACTCTCTCGCTTCCCCAAAGGTAATGATTTTGAGTCATACTTTCGATAAGTGCATAGGCATCATTATATTCTTTGTCCATCAATGCACCACCCGCGGCAGCGTCAATTGTCATTCTTGTATTGTACAAGAGTCCATTATAGAAGGTATGGATGACCATCCATTCTATTAATCCATGATGTGGACAAAGTCTCAGTAGATCCTTATAGCGTTCCCAAGCTTCGAATAATGATTCACTTTCTCTTTGCTTAAATCCGTTGATCTGAGCTCTCAGCATAGCTGTCTTGCTAGGTGGAAAATACCTATTCAAGAAAACTCTCTTAAGTTCTTCCCACGTAGTTACTGAGTTCGAAGGCAGAGATTGAAGCCAAGCTCTTGCTCTGTCTCGAAGCGAAAAAGGAAATAAACGTAGTCTAATAGCTTCTTGGGTAACTCCATTGGCTTTTACGGTATCTGCATATTGCACAAAGATCGAAAGATGAAGATTCGGATCCTTGGTAGGATTTCCGGCGAATTGATTTTGTTGCACGGCTGATATCAACGAAGGTTTTAGTTCGAAATCATTTCGGTTGATAGCCGGTGCTGCAATGCTTGAATGCGGTTCAGCTTGCGAAGGATTAGCGTAATACTTGAGTGGATGAGTCTGTTCTTCAGCCATCTCTGCGTCCTTTGATTTTACGACTGGTTTAGGCGGATCTAATTGAAGATCTGGAATATTGTAATTATTTTCGAAATCGAATATACGTCTTCTTACGTGTAAGAAGCGTTCCGATTCAGGGATTAGAGGTTACAAGTCTTCGCTTTTAGAGCGAGTACTTGGCATACACTCGGAGATTAGATTAAATTAAATAGTTGATACCTTAGTCTAGACAATGCTACCTAAATGCACTAGTAACTAAATTAAGGAATCCCCGGCAACGGCGCCAAAAACTTGATGGGCTAAAGACGTGTCTACTTATGCGTCTAGCGGTATCTTACTGCAAGTGCACAGCCTATCGAAGTAATATTTAAGATTATCGATCCACAGGGATTCTATGGTTACTTAGTGCTAGATGAACTTCTAGTTTAGCTAAGGCGAATGGTTGTCACGATTTTTTGTTGATTTTTAAGACTATTAAAGGCGGAATTAAATTTAAATTTTAATAAAGTAATACTAAGGCGGTCGGTACGTAATTATACTAACTTAGGTGGGTCAATCTAACCTAGGCTTATAAAGGTGTTCACTTAATCTATTCGGTAGAGATTACCAGTTTAAATACCCTCAACTCACACTCTCGTGGTCTTATATCAGATCTTATCCCTAAAGCCCTATGCCTGCTCTCGCTAGCCCATAAGTGTTTAGAGGTAATTTTTGGAAACTAAGTAATTCTAATTTATCTTAAAGCGCTCTCGCTGTGTTTAATTTAAATGCCTAACTTTAGCTATCTGGTTAAAATCTCACACTCTCGTGGTCTTGACCTAACCTAATACTCTTTTCTTACTCTCGTAACGAAAAGGTCTATTTCAATTAAAAAGTATCAGCCAGAATGTTAAGTGATTAATTATTTTTAGCCTATGGTTATATTTTACCGGTTAAGTTTGTTATAACTACATACCGCCCTAAGGTGTTTAGCTACTCATCGATGTTGAATCAGACAGAGACAGAAAATTTAATAATAACGTACTCATGGCAGAAAAATAAATAAACATTATAATTAAATTAAATTGCAATATAATGAAAAACCTGGTTAACAAATATTCGAGCAGACTCCTTCTTCCACATACCGGAAAGCTTGGAGTTGGCGGAAATTGAAAATAAACGAATGCTGAAGATTTAGAAACAAATAAATGTATAACAATTTCCTGATGTTGGAAATTGTTATATGGCGGGTTTGGATACAATAAAAAACGAAACAGAAAACTAAAAATAATGCAGGAATAGAAAGGCTGGTTCGTAATACAGTTCGGCAGAGCTTCCGCAGGAATTTGAATAAAAAATGCTCTCCCCCATTGCTCATAGAACTTGTACTATTTATAGAATCCTTAATGGGCTGGATTTTTGGACCTTTGTTGCATGGGCCTTGCTGAATTTGTGGAAGGAATGCAGGAACGTGGCAACAAAATAGGAGAAATGGTCTTCACGTAATGCCTTGACGTAGTCTGAGTCAAAAACCTAATTTTACCCTTGTCACGGTCGTGACAAGGTCTTCACGTTCGTAACTTGTGGTTTTTAAGTGTCACGGTCGTGACCACTCTCTTACGGTCGTGATGGCTCAAATTGGGGTGTCACGGTCGTGACACACTTGTGACGGCCGTGACTGCAACAAATTATGCAGTCTTTTGCAGGCTTCTTCATTTCTTCATCTCTTTATGGTTTCTTTTGTTCCTTTTGCTCTTAATTCATGATTTAGCTCCATATAATGATGTACCTGCAAAATGGTAAGAAAAACTCAAGAAATCGAGTGTTAAAACGGTGAATATGCGATAAAACGTTAATGAAACCTAGCAATATAATCGATGCGTTTTCTCGTTATCACTCCCTTGTTAACTTAAGTTAGAATTGATTAGAATCTTGTAAAGCTGAGTGGACCCATAAGATAGAGAATCCACTGAGATTATTATCTCATCCCATATTTGTTGATTATTTTTTAGGTAGTTATGAGCAGGTGGAGGTTAATAACAAGATAGTTTGGTGTCATTGCTTACTTGATATTTTTGACGACTTTCCGCTATGTAGATATCTATTTTGAGATCATTCTGAGAATGATCTAGTTCCTAGTTTAATTTTGGACACCCTTGTATATATTATGTCATGGCTGTAGTTTTATTTTGAACATATAAATACGTACAATGTTACCACTAGGTGCTTATGTATTTCAGTGTCAACCTTACACTATGTATAATATGTATTTCTAGACATATATTATATATGGGTGTTATACATAATGACTCATATACATATAAATTTGATATATTTATGGTGTGTTTGAAGATGTATGTATTTCCATATTTTAAGGATAATTTTGATTTTTTATAAGGGTGAAGAAACAATTCATATGATGCATTAAGTAATTTTCTTTTGACAAATCTAATCGACTCACTAAGAGATAAGTTCCAATTCATGACATAGTTATTGATTCCTTGTTCCTATTGCACGCCTCTTTTAAGTTGTTCAAGCATAGTACTATTACTGAATTTGTTGCACACTGAAAAAGTAGAAAAACTAAACATTGATCATTACTTAGTCCACTAATCTTCCCTTCTGTGTCACCACCTTAGCAATGCAGAAAGCAAAAGACATAAATAAAGAGAACAAAAACAAATATTAAAGAAACCAAAATAGAGAACATATAAAAGCAAAAAGTGACTATAAAAGCAACACTTCATCTATATTCCTTATTTCTTCAACACTCTCCCATAGTTGCTACAAAATTAAACCATATAGATTTTCAATATACAATCAAATCCATAATTAATAATACAATGATATTACTATTTACTCAAATCCTTCTCTCATTACTCATAGTCACAACAAAATCTCAATCAACCATATGCAGAACTTCCTGTGGCAACATTCCAATCAAATATCCATTCAGCATTGATGATGGCTGTGGAAGTCCATACTACAGACACATTCTCGCATGTTCCGACTCAGAAAAAAGACTCGAACTCCGAACACCTTCCGGTCGATACGAAGTCCGTAACATATCCTATGATAATCCTCACATTGTTGTCACTGATTCTTTCATGTGGAAATGCGAGGACGGAGAAAATTTTCGACCGACGCGTCCCTTTAGTTTAGACACTAGCACAAAACTAAAACTCTCCAAGCAAAATGAGTACATGTTTTTCAACTGTAGTGAAGAACATGTGATTATTCAACCAAAGCCTGTATTTTGTGAACATTTTCCTGATCACTGTGATTCATCATGTGACAGTGCTAGTTATCTATGTAGACATTTACCAGGGTGTTCTTTTTCTCTTAAAAGTAGTTCTTGTTGTTCTTATTATCCAAAAGCAAGTGAATCTTTGAGATTGATGCTTAAGTATTGTACTAGTTATGCTAGTGTTTATTGGAGAGATGTTGGTATTCCTCAACCTTATGATCAAGTGCCTGAATATGGAATTAGAGTTGATTTTGATATACCTGTTACTACTCGTTGTCTTATGTGTCAGGATGAATTGAAAGGTGGTGGAACTTGTGGATTTGATACTGTGACACAGAGTTTTCTGTGTTTGTGTAAGGATGGAAACTCTACTACTCATTGTAAAGGTATGTTCAAAATATTATCTTATTTAATTAAGCAATTATAGTTTAGATTTTGAAATAAGCTAGAAACAAATTTATGAATGTATCATAAGTTAGTTTAAGTTGAATGAGAGAGTATAATTATTTTGTCTGACACACAACCGTGTGTATCAAAGTTGGAACTCTGGTGATAGCGTCTGACCTAGCAATATCGTGTCAGTTGAGTTAGGATTTGCGGACAATGAGAGAGTGAAATTAAGTGGCTATTGTTTTGTTTTGTTTGGCAGATCAAGAAATTGCGCAACACAATAGGAAGGTTCATGTAATAGCAGGTAACAGAAGAAATAGACAAACTTTTCAGATCTAAATATGTTACTGAAATGAAAAGTTAGGCTAATGATTAATGATGTGTATTGGAATTGTTGATTCAGGGACAGTTACTGCATTCTCGGCTGCAGGAGTATTTGGAATTGGTGCTGGAATTTGGTACTTGAAAAAATTGAGAAAAACAGCACCAGTCACATGTGGAGTTCAAAGTAATGAAAATAGACTCTTCTAAAAAGAGTCAAATCAACAGAGGTGCAGCACTTACACAGATACTGACACAGACACTGACACATCGATACAGATAGCAATATATATCGGTGTCATATCAGTCTTTCACACCAAAAACACTTTTATTCATTCAGAAATGTTAGTTTAGAAAGACCATACAAAATTACAAATATTTCTTTTTTTAGTAATGTAAGTTAAGGTGTTAGAAGATTACTATGCGAGAATGTAAACTCTTTGAATTATGTAATACTATAAGAATTGATCTCAAACAATCTTTTGTACCATACAAGCTCAGACTTAAGAATCAAAGTCATAGAAGAAAAGTAGAAAGTAAAAACAAGAAAATGTGTAGTGAAATTAACATGGTTTGTTAACAGTACAATCAAGAGGTCCTGCATTGAGTGTTAATAAAGGCACCATTGAAGCCTTAGCAGCAACAAAGTTTTGAGATGATGAATATAATGGTGCACAACTTCCATAACCAGATGGTATAAAATAAGCACCATTTAAGAATTCATCACCATAACTCCTCCATTTCCAATTACTCCATTTTCCATCCGTTTCTCTCTTCGTAACCTGTCACAATCGCAATTAAGGCCGCAATATTAATATCAGTAACATAAAAGTAACTATAATTAAGAAAATAGTGCAACTTATGAATTAAGTGCTTGTAACATTTTTTATTACCTGTTTTGCATCAGAATTTTTGGAAGCAATGAAGTAGTTTCCTTGACTGAAAATGATAGGGTCAGCACTACCACCAATAGCATACATGAGCCACTCATCATATCGGTTGTTTACAACATGAGCATAACCAAATCTTACCCTGCATTTCATTTGTCATTAATCAAATAACTATATATAACAGTGTTATTGAATATTTCACAAAATTAAGCAGCTTAATTAGATAATTAGCAACCTCGGCATTCTTTCTATTAGAGCACTGCCAAAATGGTTGAAAGCTACGGTTACTTTCATTACTCTATCTGCACTGTAATCATCATTGTGTCCAAGTAACATCACCTGCAACAATAACATAATAACCGTTTAAAACTCAACCGTGAGAGTCAGGTTTGAATCCTGATGTTCACGTCCAGATTCATTGTATTTACTTACTTTATCATGTTGAGTAAAGTAATTATTTGAGATAGTAACAAGATTTGAAGCATGAGTAACATCAGTAAGTCCGTCTGCGCATCTAGCCAAAAAACAATGATCAATCCAAATATTCGAAGAAGCAAAAACACTAATTCCATCACCATCGCACCCTTCGCGATATCCAACATGTTCATTACTACTCCGAACCAAACCAGCCAACCCCGGTTTACAATCATGAATACTAATTCCATGAACAATCACATGACTAACACCTTGTATTGTTATACAAGGTCCATTATTTCCAATTTCAACGTTAACACCTCTTCCATCAATAGTTTTGTAACTATTCACAATGAGCTCATTTTTCAGCTTGATTACCATGTCATTTGCAAATGTTATCCAAAGTGGTTCGGTTTGTATTGCGCCGTAACGAAGTGTGCCTTGTTTCGGGTTTATTGGGTCGTCGGAAGGATCGGTGACTTCGTATATGTCACCGTATTTTCCTCCGATCGCGTCTTTGCCAAACCCGACAGCGCAGTCGGCTAACAATTGGCGGTTTGATGCCCAATTTGAATTGGTTCGCCAGCATGAATCAATTGTGTTCATGACATTGTCTTGTGTTGGAATGTTGTAGCTTGGAATATTATCTAATAGTTCGTTGTTGTTATGATATTTTTTTGAATTTGAATTGGCTAAGGTAGGTAGAATTAAACATGATGAGATAAAAACTAGGAGAATAATAATAAAATTGGTTAAAGTGGCCATTGTTTGTGGATTTGTGACATTAACAAAATGTTGAAGGAGTTAAATACGAAAGTATAAAGTTTTATTTTGTAGTGGTACACACGATTGGTGAAGGGTAGTGCAGTGATGTAACATATATTGCACAGTAATAGTTCGAAATTAGTTACGTTGCTAAATTGCAAAAACGTGGTTGCACGGTTGAGATGATTATAATCTAATCTTGCCTATAGTACACTGCCACTGCTTATGTTATGGGAAAAATATAATATTATTATTTAATAGTGGGCAACCTTGAATTTAATCATGCACGCCAATAAAAGAATTAGGAGTTAAATACTAAACATTCCTTCTCCTTCCATACGAGTTTTCTTTTTTATTTTTAAATTTCTCTCATAATATTCAGATATAGGCTCTTGATGGTCAGATTGCAGCAAATATTTTTTTTATTTTGCTAGCATGGTAATTCATGTGACTTTTTTTTAATATTTTTTATTTAATTTTAAATTTGAAGTGGATTAATTTTTTTATTTTTTTATTTTTTTAATCTTCTTTTTTATTTTTTTAATTATATATATTGATTTTACCTGATCAGAAAGAATCAATAGTCTGCCACGCGTCGTTGGATTGTTGATTTCACCGGAGTTGTGGAGAAAGAGAGGGTGTACCTGTAAGGCACTCTGATGCTTAAGTGAGTAAATGATCATAGAGAGAGCAAGCACAAAGATTATGTGTGAGAAAGAAGTTACTTGACCCTCTAGTAAAAGAGGGTATTTATAGTTTGCCCCCAGCGCAGGACCAACAATTACATTGTATTGGGTTAGACTGTCAGACTTAACCCAAGTAATTGTCAGGGATTACGTGGCGTAGTGAAGACCAACACGTAGTCTTCGCCCTGGATCAGCTGCCCTGTGATCTTCGGAAGTTATAGTGTGCCCCCAGCGCAGGGCCAACGGTTACATTGTATTGGGTCAGACTGTCAGACCTAACCCAAGTAACTGTCAGGGCTTACGTGGCGTAGTAAAGACCAGCACGTGGTCTTCGCCCTGGATCAACTGCCATGTGATCTTTGGAAGTTGGACTGACCATCTCTTTCAGACGTGGATAGTTGTCTGATGACGTGTCCCGTGTGGGGGAGCATGTGGAGAACGTGGGGGAAACATGTGAGTCTCCCCGTCAAAGGGGAGTCGTCTGCCCGACATATATGCCTTGTTGAGGCTCATGTCCGATATGGAAGGATTGACCCTTATTGGGTCTCTCCAACGTAGTGTCGGGTTGGGCCTGCCCGACTGAGGGGCAGGTCCCGGTCCAATCCAGAACAAATATTATTAGTACAAAAATCATAGATAGTGTGGTTTATAGAGGCAAGACTATCTATGAGGACGTGCAAGGCGGACTACTGCACATGACCCAAAATTTTTCAAAATTAAATCGTGGCTAAAAAGGGCCTCACAAAATATTTCTTATGATTTAAACATTTAAAGGTTTCTTATTTTTCCTTAGTGAAACCATGACAAACCTACATAGGACCTCCAAAATTTTGTGACGGCCTGTATATAGAGGTAGGTTGGAAACATAGAAAAATTAGAAATCATATAGTTAATTTGATATTGTAATTAGTCTTGGTTGTTGGTTGAATCTTTGGGATCACCTTGTTTGTATTGTTTTTTTGAATTAATATATTTTTCTTTGATTAAAAAAAATTGTATATTATATTATTAATCTTGTTTTTTATTTTTTTAAAATATTATTATTTTAATTTTTAATTTTTTTTCATATTTTTAATTATATTTTTTTAAAAAAAAATTAATTAATCAAATTTTTTTAAAAAATTATTGGGCCTTGACCATGTATCTCTTCATTTAAAAATTTAAAGCACAAGTAATAATATAAACACTCAATTTTTTCCAAAATCTAACCATGGCCTCATGGTTAGCAATATCAATATGGCTTATTTCAGCTACCTGCAAAATCAGGGCATGGTTAGCAATGGTCATCATCACCTTTGTTTTACTTCTGCAATCCCTTGTAACTCGAGCCCGTCTCTGATGGATACAAGAACTAAAACATTGAATTTGGCATGGTGATGATGTTATATGTATTACTGGATTATGTATATAACTTTTGTAGCTGCAAATTATCAGAAAATATAAATAGTAAGCAAAATAGATTTTCTATATAGTGTTATATTTTTATACTACATTGTGAACAATTAATGACAAAGCTTAAAAGCTGAAAAGATAAGGTCATAAAATAGCTTATAGTGGAGAAAGTGAACTCTAACATTGAAAGCTTGAGGCTGCAAAATATATACTGACAACAAAACCATTACAATTTCATTAAATAAAAGCAGTATTAAACAAGTTATGTGAGAATGTGATTATGCTTCAATCACCATCAAATTTAATAAGAATTAAATTTGCTAAAGATAACATAAACGAGTTCGGTTGGGAAAATAATCATGTTGACCTCAATGTTCTTGTCTCCAAGATCACACCTATTTCATTTCAGTGAATTAAATATATGTGATTTTTTTTAATATATGTTGATTGTTAATGGCAAATAATAAATGCTAAGATATGTTCTTGTCTCCGAGTATTAAGAAACTGCACTGAATCATGTTCTTTCTTAGACAAATCACTACATCATAATTGATTTTTAACAGCACATACAAAGACAACGCTTTTTAAAAAAGCGCTGCTAAAGAATCATTAAAAAAAAAGAAAAAAAACAGCATACCTACAACAGCGCTTTTAGGAAAAGCGCTGCTAAAGGGTTGCTAAAGACATGGGCTAAGACAACGCTTTTCTAAAGCGCTGCTGTAGGGTGTGCCAAAGAAAGCGCTTCTCTAAAGCGCTGTTGTAGATGTGTGCCAAAGAAAGCGCTTTCCATGTAAAGCGCTGCTATATCCATGGGCTAAGACAGCGCTTTTGAAGCGCTGCTGTAGGTATTAAAAAGCGTTGCCATAAGTGTTATTATTATTAAAATAAAATATCACAGAATTTTACAGAAAGCGCTTTACTTGTGAAGCGCTGCTATATGGTTTAGAAAAGAAAGCGCTTTGAGAAGCGATGCTGTAGGTATTAAAAAGCGCTGTCATGGGTGTTATTATAATTAAATTAAAATATCACAGAATTTTTTAAAGAAACATAACACATTGCTAGC